CGCAACCAAGTTTTTAAAAAGCCCAATTAGGGAGACCAACAGTAGGCATGCATACACACACGGCCAATGAGTTTTAAGCTACGGGTCCAGGACTCAAACCGCAGTCAACTACATGAAAATCCAGGAACCTAACCATTACATCAATCTGCTGGTCCCGAACTCACATTTCTTGAAAATTTATGAGAGACATATAGCAGGCAGAAGTTTTATGTAGTATTTCATTTCATTGGAAAGCTTCCTCTTCCTCCCCAGACAAGTTTGTATTATTGAGAGAGACAGAAAGAGAGAAATGGATTTGATGCCACATCCTCTAGCCTTCGTTGGTTTTTGCCATAGGATGCATGCCACCACACCACAAGTTTAGATTATTAAAGTATGCCAGAATATATAAAAGGCTGTGTCACAAGCAAGATGAGGGTCCAGCAGGTGGTGTAGTAGTTAAGGCTGCACTCCTGCTACAGACTTGGAGACACTGAGTGGTGCACATATTAAAAGACTGATAGTCTTGGGACCAGCAGATGGTGTAATGGCTATGTTGCTGGGCTCCCACGAAGTCGACTGTGCTGCGAGTCCCGGACCTGGTGGCTTAAAACTCATGCCAGGCGCATGTACGTGTATGCCTAAAATACTAGGAGGAGAATGGAGGAGAAGGGGTTGCAGTGTGGCCATCCTCTCCTGGGCAGTGATTTTGTCCTTTCTGTTTCTCTGAGCACATGTGCTCTATAGTAAAAATTTCTCTGAAAAATAAAAAACAGAAAAAAAAAAAAACAACAAAAAAACCCCAAATAAACAGGGCTGGCAAGCAGTATGGTGGTTAAGGGCACAGAACGCCCACATGGCCAACCACAGTTTGAGTCCTGGACCTGGCAGTTTGCTTTCTTTCTCTCTCTCTCTCTCTCTCTCTCTCTCTCTCTCATACTCTATCCCTCTCTGGTCAAATTAAATAAATAAAGTTAAGGGGCCATCAGGTGGAGTAGCAGTTAAGACAATGGACACTCCCACATGGCTGACCACAGTTCAAGTCCCAGACCTGGTGGCTTACTTTCTCACTTCTCTCTGTGTATCTGTCTTTCTCTGGTCAAATTAAATAAATAAAGTTAAATAAAATATATTTTTTTAAAAAAAGAAAGACTTGTAGTCTAAATAAATTTAGCAAAGGGGGGCTGGGAATTCAAGAGAACTTGAAAGCAGCCTTCTCTTGTGCTCTGATTTATTGTGTGGAAAATCAGGTTATACAAACACTATCATACTTTGAAGTAAATAAGTGACCTTTTCTCAGCAAACTTTGCTGTACATAATTATGATGGAAAATTCAAATAGCAGGTTTTCTGCACAATCAAGAACATCTTTAGGAAGTTAAAGATTTACTTGGAAACAAAAAAGCATAGCATATAAGAGCAATTGTGGGGACCAGCAGATGGTGTAATGGTTATATCGCTGGACTCCCATGTGGTCGGCCATAGTTCAAGTCCAGACCAGGCAGTTTAAAACTCACATCAGACACATGTGCAAGTGTGCCCAAGATCCTGCGAGGATAGTGGAGGAGAAAGGATTGCAGTGTGGCCATCCCCCCAAGCAGTGATTTCTCACTTTCTGTCTCTCTGGCACTCTATAGCAAAATTATCTTGGAAAATAAAAGAGCTATTATATAGGACACAGGACACATTAACCCCATGGTACTTGGCTTGCTTCTCTGGAAAACAGGTTACAGGAGCTTGCGCCGCCTCCTGTGCTTGAGGATTCAGTGTGCCAGGTCACACAAGTTGTTTTCCAGCAGATATGGACCATCGTCACACAGAGTGGTCTCCACCAGATTCAAACATGGTTGACCACAGTTTGAGTCCTGTACCTGATGGCCTGTGTATGTGCTCAAAATCCTGAGGGGAGAAGGGATTGTGGTGTAGCCATCCTCCCTAAGGGTGTGATTACTCACTTTCTCACTTTCTCTCTGTCTCTCTGGTCAGTGCACCCATCCTATAGAAAAAGAATTTCTTAAAAACAAACAAACAAACAAACAAAAACGGTAAGAGGATCCATTAGGAACATAAGAATGCAAAGACCTTGCTTCAGCTTCAGGCACACTTATTTCCCAACCCACTATGTTACAGGCTTCCAGCCCAAGTTTGCTGTATGGTCCATTTCCTATATCTCCTCCATTGTTTCTCCTTTCATCTTTTTTTTTTTAAAAGTACTTTGTAACAGTATCTTTTTTTTTTTTATTTTATTCATTTATTATATTTTTACTTTATTTTGAATTTGACCAGAGAGAGAAGGAAAGTGAGAAAGCAAACTGCCAGGTCCAGGACTCGAACTGTGTCAGCCATGTGGGATTCCAGCCACCCTAACGACCATGCCACCTGCTGGCCCCTCTCCTTCCATCTTAACACAAATTTGTTTTCATTTTCGTTGTATTATATGATTTGTCATTTCAGGGATCAGTGATGTTCAACGATGTATCCATAGTCTTCTCTCAGGAAGAGTGGGCCTACCTGGACTTGGAACAGAAGGACTTGTACAGAGATGTGATGCTAGAGAACTACAGCAACTTGGTCTCACTGGGTAAGGTTATCTGCCTGTAGTAATTTAGACCGTATAAGATCAACTTTCTCCTCTGGAAATTTTAAGAATATCTGTCAAGAAACTAGCTAAGTTTCTATTCACTGCTTTCAAGGGAATGGTTTAAGTTTTATTTCTTTGGAAGTGAACATCTCCATTTAGGCATATTTATCTTCCCCATCCTTAATGATGAAGGGGCTGGATTTGAAACCTGGGTGATTTACAGCTTTACCAGGGTGAAAGAAAACAGGTTTCATTTTGTGTTTCAACTCAGAATGGCTTTAGGTGTTTTTTTTTGTTTTTGGTGTTCCTGTAAAGAATATACTAGACTTTTCTCTGTGAAAAAAAAAACAGTTTATATAGTGGCAATCCAATCAAGAGGATATATTTATAATTCAAGAGAACTCCTTTTTTATGTTGTTAAAAAACAGACATTTTGGGAACCAGCAGTTAGCATAATGGCTATGTCACTGGACTCCCACGTAGTCAACCGCGGTTCGCGTCCTGGACCCGGTGGCTTACAACTTACGCCGGGTGCATGTGCGTGCGTGCCCAAGATCCCGAGAGGAGAATGGAGGAGAAGGGATTGCGGCGTGACCATCCCCCCTGGGGGGTGATTTCTCGCTTTCTGTCTCTATGTCTCTCTCTGTCTGTCTGGCGAGCGCACGCACCCTATAGCAAAAACCTCTCCAGAAAAAAAAAAAACAGACATATTTGGTTTTATCTGCTTTTATGATTAAATACTAAAAGTACAAAAACTTTCCATATAATATTGTATTAAGGGGCTGGCAAGTGGCGTGGTGGTTAAAAGTGCTGGACTCCCACATGGCTGACCATGGTTCTCAAGTCCCAGACCTGGTGGCTTTTTTTCTCGCTTAAGAAATGACATTACATTTCTTGAAAATCTTCTTCAAATAAACTTGGGGCTAGCAGGTAGTATGATGGTTAAGGCACTGGACACATGACTGTGGTTCAAGTCCCAGACCTGGCAGCTTGCTTTCTCACTTTTTCTTTGTCTTTTTCTCTCTGTCCCTCTGTGGTCAAACTTAATAATAATAACAACAACAAATAACATTTTTGGCGGAGGCCAATAAACACCTTTATTACAAGAGCAAAGACAGAATGTTTATTTGCCTTTCCCAGCTTTGTTTTTCCTCAGGTAGAACTCCAGCTCCTTGCCCTCTAGCACATAGCCATCTGTGTGGCCGCACTGGCCTGGTCTGGATGCTGCTCCTCCAGAAGACTCCTGATTTTGGCATTCTTCTTCCTTTCATCATATTTCTTCTAAATTTTCCTTGATTGCTTTTTGTTTAAAATCTCATCCTCCTTAGGTTCAGCTTGGTCCTCTTCTTACAGCTCAAGGGCAGTGCGTAGTGGGACTTGTACCATTGTCAGTACGGTATGCTGTCGATGAGCTCCATGCAGTTCTTCACCAGGGTCTTGGTGTAGACCAGCTCATTATTGGATGCATTGTAGATGACATCAATGATTCTTGTTTTGCATGTACAACACTGAGCCCCAGGAAAAGTTTCCTACCTCCATCCTCAGGGCGTGGTATTTCTTGTTACCTGCTGCCCTCTCCCACCCGCCGACTATGTGTGCAGCAGGGTCCAATCTTAGTGTTGTCAGCAGGACATCCCTGTTCATACTTCCGCTTCTTGAGGTAGAGCTTTCTCTGGCTTCCAGTCTTGCGGTGATTGTGCCAGTTGTCCTTAGAGATACCAATTGTTTGGCACCAGCTGGAAAGAGCTAATAAGTAAGATTTTAAACAGATTTATTTCTTGGGACCAACAGATGGTGTAAGGGGGCATGCATGCCCAAGATCCCCGAGAAGAGAAAGGAGAAGGGATTGTGGCGTGGCCATCCCCCCCGGGGGGGTGATTTCTTGCTTTTTGTCTCTGGTGAATGCATGTGCCCCATGGCAAAAATCTCTACCAAAAATAAAAAGTTCTTTTCTTCCTTCCACAAGTGAGAGAACAGACAGAGAAAAAAGGCATACCCATCAAAATATTTTTTGTTTAAGTTTTTATTTATTTATTTATTATTTTTTGGAGTGGTTTTTGGTATAGGGCGCGTGCGCTTGCCAGAGAGACAGAGAGACAGAAAGCGAAAAATCACCCCCCAGGGGGGCTGGGCACGCCACAATCCCTTCTCCTCCATTCTCTTCTCAGGATCTTGGGCACGCACGCACACGCGC